TACTACAAAGCGATAGTAATCAAAACAGCATGTACTGGTACAAAAACAGAACACAGATCAATGGAACAGAATTGAAAGCCCAGAAATAGAACCACACATATACAGACAGCTAACCTTCAACAAAGGAGCTAAGAACGTACAATGGAGAAAGGAAAGTCTCTTCAATAAATGGTGCTGGGAAAACTGGACAGCCACTTGCAAAAGAATGAAAGTAGACCATCTGCTTTTGCCCTACACAAAAATTAACTCAAAATGGATCAAAGACCTAAAGGTGAGACCTGAAACTATAAAACTCCTGGAAGAAAATGTAGGCAGTACACTATTCATCATTGGTCATAAAGGGATCTTCTCGAATTCCATGTCTACTCAGACAAGGGAAACGAAAGAAAAAATAAAAAAATGGGACTTCATCAGACTAAAGAGCTTCTGCAAGGCAAATGAAACCAAGATCAAAATGAAAAGACAACCCACCAGTTGGGAGAAAATATTTGCAAACCATATGTCCGACAAGGGGTTAATCTCCATAATATATAAAGAACTCACACATCTGAACAACAGAAAAACAAATAACCCAATCAAAAAATGGGCAGAGGATATGAACAGACATTTTTCCGAGGAAGATATACAGATGGCCAAGAGGCATATGAAAAGATGTTCAACATCACTAATCATCAGGGAAATGCAAATCAAAACTACACTAAGATATCACCTGACACCCGTGAGAATGGCTATAATCACCAAGGCAAAAGATAACAAATGTTGGAGAAGATGTGGAGAAAACGGAACCCTCATTCACTGCTGGTGGGAATGCAAACTGGTGCAGCCTCTTTGGAAAACGGTATGGAAATACCCCAAAAAATTAAAAATAGAAATACCTTATGATCCAGCTATCCCACTTCTGGGTATTTATCCAAAGAACTTGAAATCGACATACCAAAGAGGCTTATGCACCCCTATGTTCACTGCAGCATCATTCACTATAGCGAAGACGTGCAATCAACCCAAGTGTCCGTCAACAGATGATTGGATAAAGAAGATGTGGTATACACACACACACACACACACACACACACACAATGGAATACTACTCAGCCATAAAAAAAGACAAATTTGTCCCATTTGCAACAACATGGATGGACCTGGAGGGTATTATGTTAAGTGAAATAAGCCAGACAGAGAAAGACAAACACTGTATGACCCACTCATATGTGGAATATAAAATAGCACATGGACAGAGAGAACAGTTTGGTGGTTACCAGGGGGAAGGGAGTTGGGGGTTGGGCACAAGGGGTGAAGGGGCACATTTATATGGTGACTGACAAATAATAATGTACAACTGGAATCTCACAATGTTATAAACTATTATGACATCAATAAAAAAAACAAAGAGTATAAACCTGTAACCAAATGCCCAGAGTTTATCTTCCAGCAAATATGGGAATAAGCCCATTCAAAATAGAATCTAGAAGCAAATGTCTTAATACTTTAAATGTGTGAACTATATGGTTATTTTGGACATTAGGTACATGATTAATCATTCTAACACAAATTTGCTTTAAAATTTCCCTAAGATCATTCAGAAACCAATAAACCAACAAATATTTATTAAGCAATTATTTTCTAGGAATTGTAGTAGGTTCTGTGCAAGATATAAAGAGATAACATATGGTTTTATGTCCTCAAAAATTGTACACTCAAGTTGACATATAGCTAAATATAGAGCTACAAACTCAAATGTCTTTAGTTGCTAAACAAGTGTTAACATCCCAAGTGTCCTGGTAAAGCAACAGGGAGAGTTAGGACCTGTGTTAACCTAGACAGTTCATTCCCTGATTAAAGGCATTCAGATAAACATACACACATACAGATGTCCAAAGAAATCACTTTAAAAGACTGAATTTAGCAAGGGCCATAAGTTTGCAACCCAACCTCTGAGACTGGGGATCAACCATTAGGTGTCAGGAAGGACTATGAACTTGAAAGGAATACCCGCACAAACAGAAGTGTGCAATTGCACACGAATACAGCTTTCTTTGATGAAAAAGCAGATCTTTCAAATTTCTCATTAGGTTTATTTCTAGGTAGTGTGTGTAAGCGTATGTCTGTGTATTTCCTATCATGAACATAGTCCTTTTATTCTCTCTTACATTTTCTAATTGGTCATTATTGGTATTTTAATTTTTGCTGCTTGATCTCATGTCCACGCAACATATTGACCTCTTACTTGTTATACTAAGCCCTTCAATATGAATTTAATTAAAGCTGAAGATACTGAGCTTTCCTCACTTGTTCTTATTTTAGTGAGAATGCTTCTAATTTTCACCATTTAGTATGATGTTACTTTTGATAACGTTATATGTAACTATATATATACATTGTATATCCCATTAATCAGGTTGAGGAAATTTTCTTCTATTCCTAGTTTACGTGAAGCTGTAGCTTTTGCTTTTTTGAATCAGGAGTGGATATAGCATGTTCTCAAGTACTTTTCCCATATCTGTTGAGATGGTCCTATGTTTTTACATTAACACTGAACCTTACTCCAGAGATAAACCTTACTTGGACATGACCTGTTTTTTATTTAATACACTGCTAGAGTGTTTGTGCTTCTACATTTTTAAAAGAACATTAACCTGGTTTTGACACTGAGTTGCTGCTAGCTTTACAGAATACGTTGAGAAGCTTTCCGTCTGTTTTTTTGTGTGTGTGTGTGAGGAAGATCAGACCTCAGCTGACATCCAAGCCAATCCTCCTCTTTTTGCTGAGGAAGACTGGCCCTGAGCTAACATCTATTGCCAATATTCCTCCTTTTTTTTCCCCCTTTTTCTCCAAAAAGCCCCAGTAGATAGTTGTATGTCATAGTTGCACATCCTTCTAGTTGCTGTAAGTGGGACTCCGCCTCAGCATGGCCAGACAACCGGTGCGTAGTGTGCACCCGGGATCCGAACCCGGGCCACCAGTAGCGGAGCGCGCGCACTTAACCGCTAAGCCACGGGGCCGACCACACTTTCCGTCTTCTTTTAATGCTCTGGAATTACTTATATAACACAGGCATTATCTATCAATTCACTGTTTTATAAGACTCACCTGTAAAAACCATCTTGCTTCTGCCGTGACGCCTTTTTAGAAGTGGATTTTGCCTGCCTTGTAACTCCTTCTTTGTGGTTGGACTTTTTTCTAAACTTTTAAACTTCATCCTGTATCAATTTTTATAATTCATATTTTCATAGGAAATCTTTCATTTCCTTTAGCTTTTTCACATTTGTGAGCATAATATTGCATATAGAATTATCGAATAACTTCATATTTTGTTTTTTTCTTTTAATATTATCTGATTTTCTCATGTTACTAAGTGATCTGCAAACATTTTTTGATTTTAGAATATATTACCTAGACATACCATAATTTATATAACTAATTGCATATTTTTTAGACATTTTGGTTGTTTCCAATTGATTAGGAAATAATCTAAATTCACACAATAGTTAGAAATAAAACCCAGCAGACAACTTCTAAGTCAGTGCTTTTCCCACAACACGACAAGAGTTCCACATCATCTGCTCTGCATAACTCTATCATAAGAAAGTACATGTAACTGAAGGCCATTTTTATATTTAGAAATTCATATAACAGCGGGACTATCAAAATAGATGAAGTACAGCTAAGCAAAATAAAATTTTATCCAACAACA